TCAATTTACTTTTCCAATCTTTAGACAAAGCATACAAGATTTTTCTATTTTTCTCTCATAAGGTATATTCTTTTTTCAGAACTTCTAAATCTTTAATAAGATCATTGAATTTAAAATACATTTGATTAATATTTTCATGAGCTTCCATCTTAAACGACTCATAGGTAATCAAAATAGATTTTTTCTGTTCTCTAACATTCTCACAACTTTCATGAATTTGTCACAGTTTGTTCCAAATTTCTTTAGCTGACTTACATCCCTTGACTCTAATAGATTCATTTGAGTCTAAAGTACAATATAACACATTCATAACTTTTGCATTTAAAGTGAGATGATCTTTATCAACTGCAGTCAATTCATTTCTAGTTTTTTATCTTGGTTTATGAGTAATATCATCTACTATAGAGGCATCATGTGAACCTTAATTAACAATAAATCACAATTCAATATCAATCGATTGCAAGAAAATAATCATTCTTTCTTTCTAACTCACATAATTCGACTCATTAAACATAGGTGGTCTAATCACAGATTGTCCTTTCAAAAACGTGACATTGTTAATTGTCATCTTTACTCCTAAGCTGCTTGCGTTTAATCTCTAGGAGACCAAGTTCTGATATCAATTGTAAGGTTCGAAGATAACCCAAAAGAGGGTGAATTAGGTTGATTAAGAAACTAATCAAGTTATGGACACTTTTTGCTCAATATGAAATTTACCCTCTTTTCTAAGTGATCACACAATAAATCAATCAATGAATGAACAATATCACTTGAGAGAAGTAGAAAAGATAAACAATTTAAGGATCACAACATAGCAATACGTAAATAAGAAGGAAAAAATTGCAAACCAATTGACTGCCAAACTCCTCTTGAACTTGTAAATCAATTCAAACAAAGTTCTTCAAATTAACGAAATACAACCAATCTTGTGTACAAAGAAATGTTCACTTCCTCCTTATCCCAATTTTCACTTGATCAAACTAAAAAGTTTTACTATCTCTCAGGACAACCCTCACAGAATTACACTATTGAAGTATTCACTCACAAATGAAAAGTTTACAATGAACTTCACACCACCAAAACTATAAATCTTTCTTAAAGAGTATTTTCTCACTAAAAATTACTTTAGATCTTTTATATCTTCAGTGTGCAAAAGTTATTTGAAATTTCTGACCATGCTCTATTTATAAGAGACCAAAAAAGTGCTTCATTAATACTTCCAACGGATAAAAAGTAGTTGAAGAGTCAACTAGCCATTGGGAGTGTCGGACGTCCGGTACTCCTATTTTTTGCGTCCGACAGCAGGCAGTGAGTTTGAGAAATTTTCTTCAATTCTATCGGATGTCTGGTATTGTCTTTGTGAGCATCTGACAGCTTTCGTCGAGTGTGAAGGATCTATCGAACGTCCAATACTTCCATTTGATTGCAGACAAAGAGTTTGAAAGATTCTATTGGACGTCCGATGCTTGCGTCCGATCGAAATCAGTGAGTTAAGGGAATGTCTTATTTCCTTCGGACGTCCGATGACGGAGTTCTTCATGCGTCCGAAATTGCGCAATGATTATCGGACCTCCGATCCTATCTTCACAAGCATCCGACAATTTTCAGCAACTTTTGTTTCTTTCAATTGCACTTGATCTTTGAATCTAATTTGCTTAATAACTGAAAGTATATCTTGAAGGGATATTAGTATCATCTATTTGTTTTGTAAACATCAAAAGTTAGGCAACAGGGGAAGAAAAACTCCTTCTTCAACTACAAATCTTGCTCCAAAATTCTCCCCAAAAATTTTCACACCTTTGGAAGTTGTTCAAACTTAAAAAAATGCCTTGTCCTGTGGTGGTTCTTGGTAGATTTGGTGATGCAAAGTTTGGACTTAACTATGGTTGAAGAAACTTGGAAGGGGTAACTAGCTCCACTCTACTTGATCTTTAATTTTATGCAAGATTTGGTAGTAGATGTGGGTTGCTATGAAAGGGTATTTGGAACCCTAAAAATTTAGGATAAATGACTTGAGGATCTTTCATATTTTGTTATGCAGTCTATGGTAGATTTTAATGCTAAAGGACTTGATATATGTTGGTTTGTGTTTATTGTGGAAATCTCATGCATTGGATGAATTTTAAATGTGATTGGTTGAAGGACAAGATTCCAGAAATTTTCTCTATGCAATGGCTGACCTGACTAGTTAGTTTCCAGCCTTGATTTTCAAATTTTTTGGGTGAAATCTAACTCAATAACCTTTGTTAGATATTAAGCTATGGATGTGTGAATAGGTTGAGTAAAAATTTGGACTTAAGAAGTCAAGAGAGAGAGATGCACACTGCCCTATTTTCTGAAAAATTCTCACAGGTGTGACTAACCCATCTTAGAAAAATATTGATATCTTGGTATAAAAAAAATTTAAATCAAGTTCTGTTTATTGTGTTTAAAACTAGATTCAGAGTACTTTCTACCGATCAAATTTCATAATTTTTCTCAACTCTTATGAATATTAATGATTTTTCAAAGTTGACTGCAATTCAAAACCTGATGTGCTCTTAAACTTGGTGGAGCTGTAACTTGAGGCCAAAATTTGACCTACTTGTGGATTGAATCTTACAAAAGTTCTTCAAGACAATTGTATTTCTTTGAATCTGGTTTCCAACGGTATAAGGTTTTCAATTTTTGGACTTACAAAACTCAAGATATGATTTTTCAAGTAGCGCCTCGCAAAGCTACATTTCTGGTTTAAAACAAAATATTCTTTTAAGAACTTCCAAATTTCCTTTGAGATGGTTAGTTCATTTTAAGTTTGATTTCATGTATGGATACAAGGTCTCTTGTGACTTTAAACCTTCGTTTTGAATCTGGATTTTCAAAGGATTTAAACCTCTCTTGATGTATTGTCTTAGTTGATTAGGCAAATGAATTTTTCTCCTTGTGTGTTAAGTAACTTAGGATGTACGTGAGTCATGGTTTAAGGGGGGGATTGTCCTAAGATGGTTTGTATTTAGTGATGGTTGGTTGATATTGTTTCAGGTGTCCAAGAGATTTCGAAAGGAATTCCGGCATGGAACAGTAAACAGCTTGCTTGCTCGTTTGCTTTTGATTTTGGTGAGTGTCAAGTGCATGTCTTATTGCACACTAATTTTGATGATACTTGTTGATTGTGCTAATTAAACTTGTTGAGACGAGTGTGTACTTTATCTCACTCGTCTTCTCCTGTTTGATTTGATAATTTACTTGCTCGTACTTGACAAATATACTTGTGCTTGTGCTTGACTTGGCGTTGATTTGATAGCAATCTCATCGACTTATACTTGATCTTAGGGGCCCCAAAACCCAATGGCTAGCCATTCAATTCAAGCCAGCAAGGGTTTGGTTGAGGAGTTTGGTGAACTTTGTGCTTGTGTACTTGACTTGTTTGGATATACCCGAGTAATACCATATCTTGTTTGACGTGCGGGCCCGCCAGGGGGTGTAACGATGGACAAAAATTGATAAAAAGTGGGATTCTACGGACTTGTTATTTACTTGGGTGACGGAGTGTCAACATTTGGAAATCATGATTCAAAAAGTATCGGTGTAGCTTGAATTGTGGATTTAAATCCTGAGAGCTCCTATATCCTTTAGTGATTATGCTTTTATTTTCTCTTGTGAATTTTACGTAAAATATTATGGCTGTCCTTCTTGATTTATATATTCTTAATGCTAATTGTACTCGTTTGTTTGCCTGTTTTTCTTAATTTTACTAAGCGTTAGTTCACCCCTTTAAGTTTGATTTCCTTAACAAGATCTTGAAGTGGAGAGATTTGTTTGAAGACGCTGGCTTTGATTATATTTTGAACTAGTTATGGATGTAAATGATTTAACTGATCTTTTGGTAGATGTATTTTTGGGACGCTTGATGTAATTTTTGGAAATATTATGGTGTAGAATTGAACGACTTTTGAAGGAAGCGAATTCTTTTTTATATTAGTATCTTCTTGGTTGAGTAGTTCTAAATTATAAATTTGGCTTGTAGTGAGTCCTAACGAGAGTTAGGCAAGCGACTCGCCGAAACCCTAAGGAGAAGTGGGGTCGTCACACTTCTCCCCCTCATCATCAAGTTTTTTTCTTAATTGATCAGGAATGTAGGAATAGGCAATACATCCAAAAACTCTGAGATGACCAAAAAATGGTTTTCTACCACTCCAAACTTCTTTAGGAGTTTTTCGGGGAACACTTCTGGTAGGACACCTGTTTAACAGATAAATTGCATAAAAAATTGCTTCTGCCCAAAAAGGTATTTGGCATATTTTTCACCTCAATATACACCTCACCATATCCATAATTGTCATATTCTTCCTCTCTGCCACTTCATTTTGTTGGGGAGTGTACCTGGTAGTCAACTAATGTTGTATCCCATTTTTCTGAAAAAAATCATCACACACCAAATATTCCTGACCACTATCTGTTCTCAAAATTTTAATCTGACGCCCACTCTGCCTCTCAACAAAAGTTTTAAAAATTTAAAAAGTGTCACAGGTATCAGATTTTTGTTTGAAAAAATATACCTAGGCTTTTCTACTAAAATCATCAATAAAGGTAATAAAATACCTGCAACCACCATCAGAAGGAACCTCCACAATGCATAAATTTGAATGAATAATTTCTAATGATCTTCTGGCCCTCCATGATTTACCAGTATGAAAAGTATCCCTATGTTGTTTTCCCAAAATGAATATATCACAAACTCTACCAGGATTTCTAATATTAGGCAATCCACCAACCATTCTTTTATTTGTCAAAAATTTCAAATTGTCAAAAGTCAAATGACCAAATCGCATATGCCACAACCAATTACTGTCATCTTTCACTGTACTCAAACAAGAAAATTGGCACTACTCAAATTTAGTGGAAATAAGCGATTTGAAATCATTGGTACATTGGCAATCATTCCAATATTTTTATCAAAAATAGTACAATACCATTCCTGATACAAATATCATTTTTTTTCTCAGACAACTGGCTCATACTCAACAAATTTTGATGCAACCCAGGAACATAGAAAACATCAGAAATAAATTAGTAGATCCATTTTTCAGGCTAATAGGAATTTTTTCCTTAGCAATCATTGGTAAAACAATGTTATTTTCAAATTTAACTTCACCACAAATAGATTCATCAAGTTCAACAAATAATTCCTTCTTGCCAGACATATGGTTACTACAATCCGTATCCAAATACCATTTATTTTTATCAACCACATCAACAACAATACAGACTAATAATAAAGTATCAGATTTTTTATTATTATCCTGCACCTGATTGTCAACAACATTAGCCTGAAAATTTCTGTCTATATTTTCTCCAAATCTACATTCAAATTGTCTATGACCTAATTTTCCACAATTATAACATTGAACTCTCTGTCTAAAATTATTCTGATTAAAATTATTTCCTATGCCAAAATTACCACCTCTGCCTCTACCAGGACCACCTCTAAAATTGAAATTATTATCTCTATTGCGTCCAGAATTTGATATACTTCCTCGATCTCTATTATTATTGCCACGACCACCTCTGTTATTGTAACCACTTCTGCTCTTCTGACTGAATTCGCCATGCTCCCTGACATCATTATTGCCTCTCAAATTCAACTGCACCTGCAACGCCTTCTCTACTGTATCCTTCTCCGGGGCATCCTCCAATTTTTCATTAATTCTTTGTTCATGCAGAATTAATGATCCATGCAAATCTTCTATATTCAAATCCTCCAAATCTTTCGTTTCCTGAATTACAGATACCACATGATCAAATTTCATGGGTAGGGTATTGAGAACTTTCTCAACAAATGATCTATCAGGAAAATTATACTGATTGAGTTTCATCTCGTTTTTAATATCTGACAACCCAAAAAAATAGGACTCAATAGATTCGGACTTCTCCATCGTCACAAGTTCAAATTTCCTCTTCAACATCATTAAATTATTTTGTTGGACCTTGTCAATCCCTTTGTATGTTTTCTCCAATATATCCCAAGCCTCCTTTGCCATATCAGCCGTAGCAATTTTTTCAAAAACTGACATATCACTTGCCTGATGAATTTGTGATAAAGCCAATCTGTCTTTTGTCTTATCATCCTCACTAGCATCTTGGACAAGTGCAGATTTAATATATTGATGTAATTTACATGCCTTGAGATGGGTTACCATTTGTTTCTGCCAAAAATTAAACTTTGCTGTTGTTTTGAATTTTTGGACAGAACAAATAATATTGGGGTTAGGGTTTGCCATACTTCAATCTACCGTAACTCTGGTACCACTTTGATGGACCCAAATTAATAACAAATTATAAACCCACAGAAAAATATTCAAGAACAACGAAAGAGAGGCAAAGAGAAATTTTTCTCAACTATTCACGTGGCGCGATTGCGTGGCTTTTCTTTTACACACCCTAACAAATGCTTCTAAGGATGGCAGCCACCCGCCCCGCAGGGGGCTAATAGGCATGGCCACCCGTCTTTAAAAAATTTCCCCCGCTTTAAAAAATAAATATATAAAAAATATATAATTATATATAAAAAATATATAATTATATATAATTATACATAAAAAATATATAATTACATACTTCAATCTACTGTAGTTCTGGTACCACTCTGATGGACCCAAATTAATAACAAATTATAAACCCACAGAACAATATTCAAGAACAACAAAAGAGAGGCAAAGAGAAATTTTTCTCAACTATTCACGCGGTGCGACTGCGTGGCTTTTCTTTTACACACTCTAACAAATGCTTCTAATGGGGTAGGGGCAGGGGGAAAAAATTTTCCCCCGCTTTAAAAAATAAATATATAAAAAATATATATGTATATAATTATATATATGATATATATAATTCAATTAATTATAAACTTATGAAAATGATATTATTAGTTATATGTATTATATAATGTATATTAGCATATGTAATATAATTGATATTATCAATTATACTAATAATTATATATGTGTACTAATACAAATTATTAATTGGTTATACTAAATTTACTAATATATTTACACTAAATCCCTAATTACACTTAATACAATAGCATTTTTTCTCAAAAAAAAGCACAAACACAATAATGAATTAGTGATTGTATTTGTGCCAAAAGTGAAAACTTGACTACTTTAGTTGTATTTTATTTCATCATGTTGGATTGTATTCATATAATTTTTGTTTGATTATTTTTATAAGTTTCAATTGTGAAATTATAATGAATTATAATTTAGTGATATGTTGATATTTTGATACTTGATTATTTGTTAAAATTTAACTATAATAAATTTTTATTACCCCGCGAGTGGAAGCGGGGTAAGGGAATTTGTAGGCAGTCCCCCGCCCCAACCCCGCCTGTTGCCAACCTTAGATGCTTTTGACACCCCTTTCACAATTGACGTAGAGGCTATATCTAATACACCCCTTGTGCCTTATACAATTACTAGTGCTATACCTTAATGGAAGTAATCTCGTGTGACTTCGTCTATAAAACTAACAATGCTACTAACATCATTAACTAATAAGCTAATACCATATGGCCAGCAAATAAGTCTAACCAATAAATTTGGTTTAATGTTCTACAAGTTTTAATGTGTTTCTTTTTTTGTTAATTTTCTCTTCAAAAAACTTGACGGAGTGACAATATTATTATTTCTGTTTTCTATTTTTGAGTTTTTTCGGCGGCCAAAACAACATCGTCCTTTGTAAGCTCGTTGTGGCTTACTTTTCATCGTCCATTTGGCAAATTAATCTCATCTATTGAATTGTATAAAATAGAAAGTGAGCCAAATTGTGAAGACCCGGATCCGTCTCTGTGGGTTTTTGACTCGTTTAGATAGACACAAAATGCCTTGCCACGCCTTCCAATCCCCAATACATTGTTGAATATACCCACCACCACCAACGAAATTTTGATAACCAGTTTGCTTGTTTATATCACGGAATGAAGAAAAGCCTTCCCGATATATTGACAATTTAAATTGATTAAGAATAACCATAAAGCTGACCAATGGTGGACATAACATGAACAACCTGTCTTTTTTAAAGTCAGAAATGGTTGACCAGCTTTTGCTTTACCGTGAACCTTTTCTAGCCGGTGAATCTATTATGGACCATTGGATCAGTTCAATATAATCGGAGGGTGATTATGATGGTGATCTAGAATAGTTGACCAAGACTTTTACTACCTCTCGAGAACATCAAATTGTTGAATCTCCGTTGAATTTTCGCCATGTGGAATTAATACTCCACAAGTCGTGCAATTAGCTGATCGCAATTAATGATGAGAAAATACGGCCTCATTTGTAAAAGTAGTCAACTCAGAGATGAATAACGTGGGTTTTACTTTTGCTTTTACGTGACCAACCGAGTTGACTGGCTGAGTCGTCACTCGGTTTCGTATGTGTTTGGATGTAGAAATTGTAAACATTTATTGCCTAGTCACAATTGAAAAATCTTAAGCTAAACACATACAATTTATATGACATATAAAAATTAAAAGATGATTCACCTGTTTAAGAATTCTTATATTTGTATATATCATTTAGATATAAAATGTTTTTGAAATTATTTTTAATTGGTGAAATCATCTCGATTTATTATTAGGGTAAAATACAGAAAACCTTCTTTTGATTTGACTATTTAACACGCTACCTCCTCATTATTTAAAAACACTCACACTACCCCCTCGTGCTTTGGACTAAAGTGAAATTTGACCGATAACCTATATGTTACCTGCAAGTGATGCATTATTTTTTTTAATATTTTTTATTTTATTGTCATTTTTTCTTTCAATTTTGATGCTTTGACTTAACTATCATAAGTATTTTTACAAATTTGAGAAATTAGTGATGCACTTTTAAAATTTTCTAAAAATTATTCATATCGTCTTACTATTGGACGCGGGGCTGGAGTGGTTGTCAGAACAACCGCTCCGGAAGGTGTAACACCATTTGCACATGGTGTAACATCATCTGTACAAGGTGTAACAATAGAACAACAACGAGTAACATTAGAACAACATTTTTATGGATCCCACACGGCGTGAAAATCGAGTTACAAGATGTGATCTGAGTAGCACAAATTTTTTAGGCCTCATCCAGGCCGTGAACTGCTTGGGACGGTTGTCAGAGACAACCGCCCAGGCCCCTCGTCCCTTACTTTTTTGCTCTGTTGTCTCTCTCTATTGACGTCAGTCACCACCACCTGCAGCTTTGTCTCCTAAGATTCTTCCAAAAACAATGCCCCCAAAATCCAAATTCACCCAAATATCCAAGAAAAAATTTCATGAATTTCATAAGCTTCCATCATAAAATTCTTGAAAAAGTAGACAAATCAGATGAGTGAAAATGGCATCCCTCTTCATTTTTCGTTTTTTGTCCCATAATCCGTTAACCGCCAAATGATCCACAAGAAAGACAGCAGGAATCAAACCTAGTTAACCAGTTTTGAAAGCCATTAAAAGAAATCAAATTCAAGGTAATTATCAGAATTTTGCTGAAAGGGCATAGCTCCAGGAGCAGGCTTTTCACCAGTTGACGCTGTTGGGACTGGAATCTTCTCAATCTCGAATGGCCTTGGGATCTCTGGAGGGCTTGCACAACGAATCAGAGCCCAATTTACACCTTCAAAGAAGGGATGCTGCTTAATTTCAGTTGCCCCACGTTGGTATCCCAACCTATGTTGTGGCTCTTTTACTAGCAACCCTCTTATAAGATCTCTAGCTGAAAAACTGATGACAGGAGACTCTGGAAATCGAAGGGGCTGCCCGACAACATTGAATAAAGTCGCTCGATTCCCAGTTCTGGTGGAGGGGATGATGTTGAGAAGTGGTGGAGGGGGAAGGGAAGCAGGAGAGATGAGGAAAAAGAAAGAAAAGTTGAAAATGAAAAAAAAAAGGAGAAAGAATAAAAAAATAAGCAGATGCTAAGACCACCTTGCTTCGATATTGTGAGTTGTGGAGAATGTGTAATGGAGGAAGAAGGAGAGGAATAATAGAAAAGAAAAGGAAAAAAGAGGAAAGGAAAGGAAAATAAAAGAAAAAAGAAAAAAATTAATAATAGACAAGGTTCCGGTTCACACAGGTCAAAAAACGTAATTCTACTCTAGTCCAAACCACGAGGGGATAGCGTGAATATTTTTAAATAATGAAAAAGTAACGTGTCAAATAGTCAAACCATAAGAAGGTTTTTTGTATTTTATCCTTATTATTAAGATCCTCCGATTTTATAATTTCAAATGCTTTAAAAATGAGCTATTTTGATATGTCTACACTTCTATGTTTAGATTTTAGTTTTTCCAATAAAAATTTAAAACCTAAGGTACTATTGCTAATTCTAATTAATTTTTTAACAAAATATAAATCAATCGAGAACATATTTGAAAATTACGAGCTAAAGTTGCGTATAGTATTTTTTACGAATTATTCTTTACTTTTTGTCCGGCACCACATGGTATTTTTTTGATTAATTACATCTGCTTCCCTTAAAATTTAATCAAATTACCAATCAAACCTCGAGATTTGATCACACAAGAGTCTAAGTCCCTAGATGAACAAACATTTAACTAAAAGCCCAACCATATTAAGCCGTTAAAGATGCAGCTTATGTCAGCAAAAATTTAATATGACAATCCAAAAATGTCTTTAGCAGGTCGAAATGTCATCACAATCATACTTGCCTATGACTTGCATTTTGTTAGATCCGATTTTTCAAAAATTCAATGATTCAGATTATATCAAATCAGCTCATCAAATAATATGACACAATCTAGATCATTAAATTTATGAAGATCAGATTTACTTAAATTTTGACCTTTACTTATTAGCAAAACAAAAAACATATCCTTAACACTAAATTAGAGGGTTTAAAACAACTGAAAAAAAACAAAGATTATTAATCACACAAGGGCCAAAGTAGAATCTAGTGCAACCATGCAAGTAACATTTTTTTCCCCAATGATTCCACTTTGATCTGGCTAATTAGGTGTTCAAAATAAATGAACTCAAAATTCAGAACCTCAAAACTATTACGTATTACATTAGTATTACTTTGCAATGAGAAGTATCCTAACACGCATGAATCCGTTCTCGCTGTTATTCTTGGTCAACATTTCACTTGCCACTTGACTGAAAGCCTTCGTCTTCCCTTTTATTTTTCGAAAAAAAAAA